GGTTGGCACTCTAAATGTGGCACTCGCGTCATGACTAGGTGTAGGTGGTGGCAAGTTGCAGCTGCGGTGTTGATGGTAGTGTGGGTGGTGGGTGAGGCTGTCACATCTACCATCATCCAGTTAATAGTGAGTACTGTATATTACCCTCTCAAAACGTTCATTATTATTATTATTATTATTATTATTATTATTATTATTATTATTATTATTATTATTATTATTATTATTATGAGACACTGGAAACAGCATGGTGGGCCTTGCTGTCTGTATTACCAATTTTTGAAAGATTTTTCCACTTTGCTATAGTTCAAAATCTAGACGTGTTCCATCCTGTTATTTATTTTAAAATACGAAGCATTAATTTAAACAACTCAATTTCTCAGATAGACTTCAGAACACGTATAGGTTTTTAATTTGTTTTTGTTCGTAATAGTACCAGGTTCTTCGGTGAAGTTAATACAGCTATCGGCTACATGTTATGCGTAGCCTTGTCGTAGCAGTGTGTCGACAGTCATAAGAACATAAGAACATAAGAACATAAGAACGAAGGAACACTGCAGAAGGCCTACTGGCCCATGCGAGGCAGGTCCAAGTCTCCTACCGGCTTAAGCCAATGCACCCAACCTAGTCAGGTCAAGTCACCTTGACTTAAGGGAGGAACACGGCAACCGTCCTGGTAGCACAAGTTAATCAGGTCCAACTCACACCCACCCACACCCACTCATGTATTTATCCAACCTATTTTTAAAGCTACACAACGTTCTGGCCTCTATAACTGTACTTGGGAGTTTGTTCCACTCATCCACAACTCTATTACCAAACCAGTACTTTCCTATATCCTTCCTGAATCTGAATTTTTCTAACTTAAAACCATTGCGGCGAGTCCTGTCTAGGCTAGATATTTTCAGCACACTATTTACATCCCCTTTATTTATTCCTGTCTTCCATTTATACACCTCAGAACTGATCCTCAAAGGATCATCGGCGTTAACTTCACCTTTGTACCGCCACTCCATTATCTTCCCGTCCTAAGGGTGCTTCTTAATCCATGTTAAGAACATAAGAACATAAGAACTAAGGAACACCGCAGAAGGCCTACTGGCCCATGCGAGGCAGGTCCAAGTCTCCCACCGGCTTAAGCCAATGCACCCAACCTAGTCAGGTCAGGTCACCTTGACTTAAGGGAGGAACACGGCAACCGACCTGGTAGCACAAGCTATCAGGTCCAACTCACACCCACCCACATCCACTCATGTATTTATGTTACCTCCTATCTTCTTTTATCCTCGTCTGGATGTTAATGTTAATGGGAATTTAACTCCAGGTATGAGCGGAAGAATAGATATAAATGAAGAGTTTCGCCCACACAGTCAATAAAGAAATATATTACACTACATCTATGTCTATTTCTCTATCGTGTTGGTATTTTATAGCATTTATCTTCTGATATGAGTGTTTGCCACTCAATTATCCTTTCATATGATTATTATCATTATTATCATCAGCATTATGTTCATTATTCTTTCCCTTAAACTTCCATCTTTTGACGTCATATGTACATATATTTTTTTTATGTGAATTCATGTTCCTCGTAATAGACTGCATTATCAGAGGCTTTCCTGCCTTTTACATTAAATTTTTAATATATGACACTCAGTTTTGAAATCAATGTCAGCTTTTTTTTCGACAAAATATTCGTTTTCAATTTTCATAACAGTCTGGTGGTGTCGGTGTGCTGCCGCCAGCTGAGCAGGAGGCTCGCCAGCTGGTGGTGGAGGTGGTGCAGAGGGAGATGTGTAGGTGCTCGCTAGTGGTGCTTCATGACGACCATTTCGCCCTCAAGCCCCTGCCTCCGCCCCTCCTTCAGCACCCCCTCGGCCTCACCCTCTTCCACCTCCTCTCCCTCAACTCCAGCAGCGTCTTCCAGCTCAAGGTAAAACGGAAACGATGTCAATAAATCAGTGTTTCATTTTTGTAGTGTTTGTGGTTTAATTCTTGAGTGCAGAGCAGAAATGTAAATTGAAAATCAGGTTCTTGTCGTACCCAGTTTGCAAGTAGGATACAGGCAGGATGGCAGTACAGTATATCTGTGCGACATGTGAAAAGGCTCTTGGGAAAAAAAATTCAGAATCACTTGTTCTCTCTAGGCTGGAATACTGCTGTACATTAACATCTCCATACAAAGCAGGTGAAATCGCAGATCTAGAGAGTGTACAGAGATCCTTTACTGCAAGTATAAGTTCTGTCAAGCACCTTAACTACTGGGAACGCTTGGAAGCACTTGACTTGTACTCGTTGGAACGCAGGAGGGAGAGATATATCATAATCTACACCTGGAAAATCTTGGAAGGAATGGTCCCAAATCTGCACACAGAAATCACTCCCTACGAAAGTAAAAGACTGGGCAGGCGATGCAAAATGCCGCCAATAAAAAGTAGGGGCGCCATTGGTACACTAAGAGAAAACACCATAAGTGTCCGGGGCCCAAAACTGTTCAACAGCTCCCATCAAGCATTAGGGAATTGCCAATAAACCCCTGGCTGCCTTCAAGAGAGAGCTGGACAGATACCTAAAGTCGGTGCCGGATCAGCCGGGCTGTGGCTCGTACGTCGGACTGCGTGCGGCCAGCAGTAACAGCCTAGTTGATCAGGCCCTGATCCATCGGGAGGCCTGGTCGTGGACCGGGCCGCGGGGGCGTTGATCCCCAGAATAACCTCCAGGTAACCTCCAGGTAACCTTTGTTTTAAAAAACATCATGTCTCCTGTGCAAGAATAAACACTGCATCCAAAAATGACATCCATCTAGAAAGGTGTTTGCGGATCTGTAATAAGGATGTGGAACTATGAACAGATATCAGGAAAGTATTCAGGAGGTTAATAATAATAAGAATGAAAACAAAGAGGAACTATTGAATAATCTACCCATATATATATATATATATATATATATATATATATATATATATAATATATATATATTATATATATATATATATATATATATATATATATTATATATATATATATATATATATATAGAGAGAGAGAGAGAGGAGAGAGAGAGAGAGAGCATGGGAGGATGGGAGAGGAGTAAAGATAAACATTCAGAATACACCTCTCGGTGTACATATCCTGTGCAAGACGAACGATTGGTTCGTTAATTGGGCGTGAAGCCTATCGACTACTTAAGGGTCATGAGTGGGTGTGGGTGGGTGTGAGTTGGACCTGACTAGCTTGTGCTACTAGGTCTGATGCCGTGCTCCTTCCTTAAGTGGAAGTGACCTGACTATGTGGGTCATTGGGCTAATCCGGGGGGGACAACATGGACGTGCTTCGCATGGGTCTGTAGGCCTACTGCAGTGTTCCTTCTTTTTATGTTCTTATGTTCTTATCAGAAATAAATATTTCGGGGTTAATGACCGGATGAATGTCTTCTTCTTCAACATCTGCTTCCCATGTTACCAAGCAGTAAACGGAGACCTGGTATACGACTGTTGTGGGTTGTAACCTGGTGCCAAGATCCAATGGAACCTAGTGAAATTAAATCCCTTCTGGGTTAGTAAGTCCTTCTGTCTGACTTTTTTTGGGTTATCCTGGATAATTTACACTTATGATATTGAGAATGATAATTGTACTTATGTATACCCATACCTAAAATAAACTTATTAACCCTTTACGCCAGTGGGTGACATTATTATATTTTTATAAGTTATAGCTTGAACAAGCAAACATTTTCTGTTATTGCATTATGCAGAAAATGTAACTTTATAAAGGGGTATCTAAATTATTCCACTTCTGTAGCGAATATTTGACGCAGTTTATCGACACCTTCGCCATAACTTCTCTCATAAGACAGATTCGGTGCTCATAATAAACATGATAATATATATCATGTACAAAATGTACATGATATATATCTAAACTTACTTGATTCATTTTAAAGCAGTACATTAAATAAATAATAACCAGTAGCGCATCCACGATTTCAATCTAGGTGGATTAATAATCCCAAGTCAAAAAACTCAAAGAACTCATCCTTAAAAACGTGATTTTTATTACATCTGGAGAAAGTAAGGCACTAAAACCACTAATGAACCAAGTAGATGGCCTAACCTCAAACTCCTCCTGTTTTATAACGATACAAAGTTAGTATGGGTTACCTGTCACCAGGAGGGTTAGTAACTAAGAATAACCCAATAAATTCAGGATGTCATCCGAATGGCTTATTTCCATTGAATGTTTTTGAATTCTCTCTCCAGGATGAGACTCACACCACTCACCTAATGCCCAAGTATCTGCTTACTGCTAGGTGAACAAGGGAAGCAGGTGTAAGGAAATATGCCTAACATTTCCACCCGTCGGGGGCTGCTGCGAAGTGACCTCAGCATCAGCTGTTGAGTGAAGGTGCAGACTGTGTGCGAGGCGAGAGGTTGCCTACCAGGCCACGGTTTAATTACATAGCCCTTCAGCTTGTAAGAAAGATGATCTGTCATGTTACGGGAGTGAACACATTAATTACACAATGCTGAAATCTGTCAGCCTGAGCTGGGAGACTTCATTAGTAACAAAAAAAGGGACAATACCGTGACTGGAAAGATACATAAATAACCCGCACACAGAAGAGAGGAGCTTACGACGACGTTTCGGTCCGACTTGGACCATTTACAAAGTCATACTAGACTTCAGTAGGACAATGAGGAATTTTCCCTTCAAAGACACTGAAAGAGAGTTTGTTCCACTCATCTACAGCTGTATTCTTAAACCAGTGCTTTCATACATCTTGTCTATATTTACATTGGTCCAAGTTGAATTCATTAGAAATAGGCAGGCAGGGAGGGTAGACCTAGGTGCCTGGCATCTGGTGGGCATTTTAGGAGCTAGGCCAGAAATTCCCCCCTAGTGGGAGGTATGTGAAATAGGTGCGTAGGCATAATGCCTATACCTTGCTTCGTAGAGTATAGGGTTATAAGGTGCACGTTACCGTCAGGTCGCCCCTCCAGTCAGCGACGCTACTGTGTGTAGAGGCGTGTTGATGGTGGCAGCGGCGCGGGGCGAGGCGTGGCAGCAAGTGCTGACGTGGGACGCAGGTGCATGGGCAGGACACGCGTACACCTTTTTGCTGCTCATGCCCGGGCAGGGCGTCGACGACGACGATACCCGCGAGCTCTCCTCTATCCTTCTGCATCGTGACCTCAGGTGACCTGCGTCCCAATAGTCTAGTGTGATCTCATAACCCAAAAAACAAGTCCGTGATCCCGAGTGGATTCCAGTGATCATTACTATTTAATATTCTTTTCGTTTTCATCTCACGATTAAATATGACTTAATGATTAAGTATTATTTAATGATTAAATATATAACGGGATTGTTTGGTATTCTGGTAGCGGGTGGTTAAATGATATACGTCTTCGGAGGCTTCTTACTTTATTGATAACTAGTGTTGGGTTACACAGGCTTGTGTGTTTGTGCCCATGGCCCGGGCAGGGCCATGCCCACGAGAGAGAGCTGGGAGGCCTTGTGTGTTGATGCCAGGCCGCTGTGAGAGTGAGGGCGAGGCAAGTCTGGGCATACTGAAGTGGCAAGGCCTAGGTGGCAGCACCAGCATAGCACGAAATATGAACTAAGCTGGCAGACAGCCTGGGCTGTCTGTGCAGACAGTACAGGCTGTCTACATATGCTCGGCCACCTACCGCGCGTCGTCCCGACGCGACAATACTGGTAGTAAAAGAAACTCGGTCTCTCTCTCTCATAGGAACAGGGCACAGAACACAAAATAAAAACATATATATACATATGGACATGGAAAAAAAACTTCCTACAGGGAGGGAAGAAAAAACATGGGGTGTGCTAAACATCGTGGTCAAAGGCAATGAGCGTCGATGGGCATCACTGCATGACTTCCTGCGTCTGGACAGATACTGCAACACGGGAGACATCGCTGCGGCTGAGCTGTGACGTAACAGGGTACGGTCTCCTCTGGAATGGTGAAGTAGACATCGTGGGAGTCGCTGCAGGTTTTCACTCAACCTGGGGCACGACATGCTGGTGCCCTCGAGTGAGGCGTCGACAAAACTCGGCAACTGGGCAGGACTTCTGGCAAGCGACTCAGGAGGACACTTCTCGACTGGTACTGTCGCTGGGCTGTCACTGCCGGCGAGCGTGGAGCGAGTTGTGGAGCGAGTCGTGGCAGAGACAACTGGGCGAAACATCTGGGAGTCGTAACATCATACACCAGACTGCAGTGAGAGAGCTAGCAGTCAAAGTGACATCTTCTTTGTGCAGGCTGCTCACTGAAGCTTGTGACACGAGGCTGACACAGCGCCTGCCGACAGGGCTGGCTGCGGCTTGACGAGTATCATCTCTCAACAGTTGGAGTTATAGCAGAGGTTAGCCTAAGCGTCCCCAGACTTGTTTCTCTACATATAACTGCACTCTGACGGTCTGGAGGTGAAGTGAAACAAATCTCGATGGGAATCGTAGCAGGTACGATTCTGCAGAACAACACGAGCGACGAACATAAAAGCTTTCTGTACAAGGGGGCTCATACGCTCAGGGCTGAGAAATCAGCTGTCAAACACTGGTCATGCGGGTGACTTAGCACAGTGGTGCAACTCAAGGGTCTGACCACAGACCTCACTGGACACACGGAAAACTTACAAACACACCGCTGTACATACGGTACAACATGGCTTAACTAGCAAATGATGCTTTTCTGCGCATAAAACTGACTAAGACATACTAAAATGTGAGAACACTGACTGAGAGGAATTAATTAACACACGACATATATCTTCTCTCAATCTTCTCGACAATACTGAAATAATTACTAGAACACTCGATGTGACATCATGTGATGTCAGGCGTGATGTCGCGAGGTGACGTCAGCAGACATCTCGAGGTGACGTCAGGGAGACATCGTGAGGTGACGTCAATGTGATGCGGGCAGCAGACCACAGCATGTGGCCTGGGACATCTGGTAACTCACGTGGCTTTGTAGGTCTACGTGACATCGGCCACACCCAACGTGGTGTCGATCCACGTGGTGTGATCTACGTGGCATGCTGATCCACGCAGCTTCGAGTGGCCTTGGGCACTCGGATACACAGCTCTGGCAATGAATCACACGAAAAACAGCAGAAAACACAGCAGAGGGAGTGGGCAGTGGTGAGTGTATGGTAGTGTGGTGGCGAGGAGCGTGGGTGAGTGTATGGCAGGGCGAGCATCTAACCATTCCTCCTCCTCTTCCTCCTCCACCCACAAACACGTGGAGAAGCTCACACTGGACGCAGAAATCACCACAAAACTCACCTCTGGCTTGCTGAAACAGCTGTGCTGAGCTGAACAACAACAGCAACATACAAGTGACGCTGAACACGTGACTTGAGAAACAGCGTGGGACACTGTAGCGTGGGACGCTGTGGGACGCTGTAGCGTGGGGTCACTGTGACGCCACTCACAATTCTCGAAGACTTTCGACAAATTTCGGCTGGATCCTGCTTGTACCTGTGTCTGGATGCTCAAACGTGCAGACACGACATCAGGATAACTCGTTGAGAGACGGATGCTTCTTGTGTAGGGTGATGAAGTGAAGATGACTTCATACCTCTTCCTCCCTCTCTCCAGGCAAACACAACTGCTGCAAGCACCGCTGTCACCATTTATAACGGCTTGTTTTGGTAGGTGCTGTATGCGGTGGATAAATGATACGTCTTCTTCGGAGGCTTCTTTGTTTATTGTTAAGTCGTTGTGGGTTACACAGGCTTGTGTGTTTGTGCCCATGGCCCGGGAGGGCCATGCCCACGAGAGAGAGCTGGGAGGCCTTGTGTGTTGTTGCTAGGCCGCTGTGAGTGAGAGTGAGGCAAGTCTGGGCATACTGAAGTGGCAAGGCCTAGGTGGCAGCACCAGCATAGAGCGAAATATGAACTAAGCTGGCAGACAGCATGGGCTGTCTGTGCAGACAGTACAGGCTGTCTACAAATATGATCTATGGCATAATATGGAACTAAATTATCTTTTACAATCCAGAAAGATTCGACATGGTATCTTAAAACCTTCTATTATTTTGCATGAACTAGTATCTATACACATTAGTGCAAGAGCCTGGGAGGGGAGCGTACAACTACGTCTCCGACGCTTCTGCAGTCATGGAGGGGACGACAGAGGAAGAATATTGGCTATATTTTCTATTTTTTTTCCCCGGCCTTTAGTTTTCATGGCTTATATTCGGATGCCTGTTCAAGGCTGTTCAACAAGATATTTATGTTCAATGATTTTTTATGACTTTTTTGCTTTGTAAATCCGTTGGTTTTTTTTTTAAGTTCTTGTCGTCGTTTCTTTAGATTTGTGCATGTACTCCTACCGACACCGGAAGCTTGTAAAAGTATTTTCCTCTCATATCTCTTATTTATATTTTTCAAAACCTGTCTAGTGGAAAAAAACGGCAATTTTTTTTAAGGTTCTTTACATACGTAACTTGGCGGCGACGGCTATCTGCCAGAATATTGGTCTCGCAGGTGTTGTGTCTAGCATCGAAGAGGAGCCATCTTCACGTAGTGAGTTCCGGGTATTTTGTGCAACTGTCGAAAGATAGTCACTTATATACAGTAGCTGAGAGCTGCTCGATGTGTTTATAATGTCTATGTTTAGACAATATATTCCTGTCCTTCCTGGGCACAAGTCTGTATGAATCACATTCCACAGGCGCCCTATTATCATTGAAGGCTCTCCTTTTTCCTGTGTATTTAATAATAAAAAATGTCTTATTTTAAATATTTCTTGAAGTATCTGAAGGCAGAACTTACTTTAAGTCAACATTATGTTTGCTTCTGATGTTTTGAGGTTTATGTGTACCTCAGGAGATTCTATATGATGTTTATCTCCAGGCGTTCTCTGTCTACCTCCTGTAGTTGTTTCCCTACCAGATAATAAATTGTATCCGGCTTTATCATCGAGACACTGTACATGCTAGAATATAACTTTGTTATCCGATTGACCATTCTTGAAGTAAGTCACGACCCAGTGTAGTGTCTTGCAATCATCTCGTATCTTCCTCATTAACTCTGCATACCAAACCATACCCCGGCCGGGATTGAACCCGCGGTCAGAGAGTCTCAAAACTCCAGCCCGTCGCGTTAGCCACTAGACCAGCTAGCCACAATAAGATTCGTCCAACTAGGTATATTTCTACACCATAGGAAGGTTAGAAATATACCTAGTTGGACGAATCTTATTGTGGCTAGCTGGTCTAGTGGCTAACGCGACGGGCTGGAGTTTTGAGACTCTCTGACCGCGGGTTCAATCCCGGCCGGGGTATGGTTTGTTTGCAATCGTGTCATTACGATTTCGTGAGTCATGTTGACGGCAGTGAAGGGACTTGAGCTAGAGTTCGTCACGGCCACGCTAGCTGGAGATTCGTCTGTAAAAACTTGCATTTGTGGTCACAGAGGTGCCTGTGCTAACCTTCCTATGGTGTAGAAATATACCTAGTTGGATGAATCTTATTGTGGCTAGCTGGTCTAGTGGCTAACGCGACAGGCTGGAGTTTTGAGACTCTCTGACCGCGGGTTCAATCCCGGCCGGGGTATGGTTTGTTTGGAATCGTGTCATTACGATTTCGTGAGTCATGTTGACGGCAGTGAAGGGACTTGAGCTAGAGTTCGTCACGGCCACGCTAGCTGGAGATTCGTCTGTAAAAACTTGCATTTGTGGTCACAGAGGTGCCTGTGCTAACCTTCCTATGGTGTAGAAATATACCTAGTTGGATGAATCTTATTGTGGCTAGCTGGTCTAGTGGCTAACGCGACGGGCTGGAGTTTTGAGACTCTCTGACCGCGGGTTCAATCCCGGCCGGGGTATGGTTTGTTTGCAATCGTGTCATTACGATTTCGTGAGTCAACTCTGCATAATCTGTGAACTCAGAGACGGAGGACAAACTCTTTCCGGTAGATCATTCATATTTATTAGGAGTATTATAAGTCCAGGAACTGAACCAGAATATACATATTTTATTCTTTACCGACTTTCTCCTTGACGATTCATCCTTCACATCATCTGTTTTCACCTTGTTAGGCATTCTCAAACCAGTCGAACACATTACCTGCTTTTTTGGGCATTGTGTTGTGTGTGTTGCAGGTTCGGGGTGCAGGTGGTGGGCGTCGCCAGGAAGAGAGACGGTGAGTGGTCTGTGTACACGACCAGACTCTTCTACGGAGACTCCAGACAATCCTTAGAGCTCCTGGATACCTGGGTACCCTCTACTGGCTTCAGGTCAGCATACAATAGGCGTGAATGGGATTTTCTTGCTTCCCCTGTCATCCAATTTTGTAACAACTAATGCCTTAAGGGATTTCTTTTATTTATTTATTTGTCGTGAAGAGCAAGGAAGATGTATGGTGGGCTTTCTGAAAATAAATCACCCATTCTGATGAAAAAAAATATCGAAATTAGACACTGGGATGGAAAGAAGAATAAAGATGAGAGAAATAGCTTAAATTACAAACAAAAAATTACGTCCTCAACTATGTGTCAAAACCTCCCTTTTAAATAACGAGTTTAATGCGTTGAAATAATTTAACTTTATTTTTGATAGTGTATATTGCTGTTGGTTTATTGACGGTCATTAAGGTTGCTTCTCACCGGAATATTATCAATTATCAAAAAATTATCGTAATACAATTTAAATTTTTCAAGGAATTATCGGGGTTGAAAGCTGTTCGTGCACCCTACCTGAGGCTTGGCGTGTGGTGCTCGTGCACTCTACCTGAGGCTTGGCGTGTGGTGCTCGTGCACTCTACCTGAGGCTTGGCGTGTGGTGCTCGTGCACTCTACCTGAGGCTTGACGTATGGTGCTCGTGCACTCTACCTGATGCTTGACGTGTGGTGCTCGTGCACTCTACCTGAGGCTTGGCGTATGGTGCTCGTGCACTCTACCTGATGCTTGACGTGTGGTGCTCGTGCACTCTACCTGAGGCTTGGCGTGTGGTGTTCGTGCACTCTACCTGAGGCTTGGCGTGTGGTGCTCGTGCACTCTACCTGAGGCTTGGCGTGTGGTGCTCGTGCATTCTACCTGAGGCTTGGCGTGTGGTGCTCGTGCACTCTACCTGAGGCTTGGCGTGTGGTGCTCGTGCATTCTACCTGAGGCTTGGCGTGTGGTGCTCGTGCACTCTACCTGAGGCTTGGCGTGTGGTGCTCGTGCATTCTACCTGAGGCTTGGCGTGTGGTGCTCGTGCACTCTACCTGAGGCTTGGCGTGTGGTGCTCGTGCACTCTACCTGAGGCTTGGCGTGTGGTGCTCGTGCACTCTACCTGAGGCTTGGCGTGTGGTGCTCGTGCATTCTACCTGAGGCTTGGCGTGTGGTGCTCGTGCACTCTACCTGAGGCTTGGCGTGTGGTGCTCGTGCACTCTACCTGAGGCTTGGCGTGTGGTGCTCGTGCACCCTACCTGAGGCTTGGCGTGTGGTGCTCGTGCACTCTACTGAGGCTTGGCGTGTGGTGCTCGTGCATTCTACCTGAGGCTTGGCGTGTGGTGCTCGTGCATTCTACTGAGGCTTGGCGTGTGGTGCTCGTGCACTCTACCTGAGGCTTGGCGTGTGGTGCTCGTGCACTCTACCTGAGGCTTGGCGTGTGGTGCTCGTGCACTCTACCTGAGGCTTGGCGTGTGGTGCTCGTGCACTCTACCTGAGGCTTGGCGTGTGGTGCTCGTGCACTCTACCTGAGGCTTGGCGTGTGTGGTGCTCGTGCACTCTACCTGAGGCTTGGCGTGTGGCGTTCGTGCACTCTACCTGAGGCTTGGCGTGTGGTGCTCGTGCACTCTACCTGAGGCTTGGCGTGTGGTGCTCGTGCACCCTACCTGAGGCTTGGCGTGTGGTGTTCGTGCACCCTACCTGAGGCTTGGCGTGTGGTGCTCGTGCACTCTACCTGAGGCTTGGCGTGTGGTGCTCGTGCACTCTACCTGAGGCTTGGCGTGTGGTGCTCGTGCACCCTACCTGAGGCTTGGCGTGTGGTGTTCGTGCACCCTACCTGAGGCTTGGCGTGTGGTGTTCGTGCACTCTACCTGAGGCTTGGCGTGTGGTGTTCGTGCACCCTACCTGAGGCTTGGCGTGTGGTGTTCGTGCACCCTACCTGAGGCTTGGCGTGTGGTGTTCGTGCACTCTACCTGAGGCTTGGCGTGTGGTGCTCGTGCACCCTACCTGAGGCTTGGCGTGTGGTGTTCGTGCACTCTACCTGAGGCTTGGCGTGTGGTGCTCGTGCACCCTACCTGAGGCTTGGCGTGTGGTGCTCGTGCACTCTACCTGAGGCTTGGCGTGTGGTGCTCGTGCATTCTACCTGAGGCTTGGCGTGTGGTGCTCGTGCACTCTACCTGAGGCTTGGCGTGTGGTGCTCGTGCACTTTACCTGAGGCTTGGCGTGTGGTGCTCGTGCACTCTACCTGAGGCTTGGCGTATGGTGCTCGTGCACTCTACCTGATGCTTGACGTGTGGTGCTCGTGCACTCTACCTGAGGCTTGGCGTGTGGTGCTCGTGCACTTTACCTGAGGCTTGGCGTATGGTGCTCGTGCACTCTACCTGAGGCTTGGCGTGTGGTGCTCGTGCACTCTACCTGAGGCTTGGCGTGTGGTGCTCGTGCACTTTACCTGAGGCTTGGCGTGTGGTGCTCGTGCACTCTACCTGAGGCTTGGCGTATGGTGCTCGTGCACTCTACCTGATGCTTGGCGTGTGGTGTTTGTGCACTCTGCCACTCAAGTCTCGGTGGGAAGGATATGATGACTTTCAAAGAAGCTTGTTGGTGCCCTAGACAGTGGAGTTTGCAGACTTCATCTGCAATATGTCGTCCAGTCTGTTGTAACTACCAGAGCTGAGTGATATTATTAAATTAACTGTACGTAATACTGACAGTTTTAGTGTTAGGTGAACAAGAACAACAGGTGTCTTGGGGGAACACGTCCTAATGTTGCCACCCGTACAGAGGATCGAACCACCGACTTTAATGCGCGAGCTGAGTGCGCTACCAACCGAGCTACGTGACACCGCACGACATGGGCAATAGTTGAGTTTTTTGCTGAAAAAAAAAATCACCTGGTCTGCTAGGGTTTTCAGTCGAATACAGAAGTTACTAAATAGTGGATGAAGTGGGAATGAAAACGATTACTTGCTGACAGTGTCTTCTAGGAGAAGCAGCGGAGAGGTAGAAATGAGGCGATCAGTCCCAGAATAGAGTGAGAGAGTGCAGGATCAACACACGTTTGGCCTGGGGATCGAACCTCGCTCATTGAAAGAGCTACACTCACATAATTACGATTAAACTTAACCATCTTATTCCTTATGTATTCCTAGCATTTATTGCAACTGTGTTGTGCATCTTTGCACTAAAAGTGAATGTAAATAAATACTTTTATTAGAGGTATATTACGAGTAAATATTTGAAGCCGAGACACCGCCAGGGAAGGCAGAGTAACCAACCTACCTACGGGGAGAAAACCTGGAGTATCCCGGAGTTTCCTGGGGGTGTTCCTGGGCCAACGCCTCCGCGGGGGGTCCATGACCAAGCCTCGCTGTGGATAGGGCCCTGTAAAACCAAGTTACGGCCCACACCCTTAATTTGTTTCCCGTATCAATTATTTTTGCATTTTATAGTAATTTTAAGTGTATCTACCTCCCTCGCGGGCCAGTGTTCCTTTTTTCTTAAGTCTTATGTTTTTATTTACATCTCCTTTTTTCCCTTTGAACAAATTTATATGAAAATAACTTAAACTGGAAGAGCAAATATAAAAAAGAAAAAATGCTGAGTAATTGATTTCTAGAAAAAAAAAACAATCAGCGAGTAACCCGCGGGTTAAACCCCCCGGATAAACCAGGGAAAACCAACCAGTCTCGAAAAATTGATAGGATTATTAATAATCAAAGAGGATAAAAACTAAGTCGTGGGGGAAGAAAACATAAGCAGCGCTAGCAAGATGTGAACACAGCACCAAAAGTTTTGTCGCCACTTTCCCCTGTGGGACAACACCAACCGTTAAACCTCGTAAATGCAAAAAAAAGAAGAGACAAAAAAAAAAAAAATAGAAAGAAGTTCAAAGAATGTTAATCTGTATTCTTCAGGAAATGTCTGTAAAATTTAGTCCTGGTTATTTCATGTGTTATTCCCGATGTTTCTTTGATGTTATTTCCCCGATGTTACTTTTGATGTTTTTCCTGATTTTTCTTCCCGTGTTATTTTATGATGTTTCTTCCTTTTTTTCTTCTTGATGTTATTTCCTGATGTTTCTTCGTGTTTCTTTCCGATGTTATCTTTTTGATGTTTTTTCCTGATGTTAAACTTCCCGTTTATTTCATGATGTTATCTTCCTGTGTTATCTTCCTGATGCTATTTCCTGTGTTTTTTCCCGATGTTTCTTTCCCGATTTATCTTCATGTTATCTTCCGTGTTATCTTCCCGATGTTATCTTCAGATGTTATCTTCCTGATTTATTCGATGTTATTTCCCGTGTTTTTTCCTGAGTTTTTTCCTGTGTTTTCTTCTGATGTTATTTCCGTGTTATCTCTGATGTTATCTTCCTATGTTACTTCCAAAAGTTATCTTCCTGTTTTTATCTTCCTGTGTTATCTTCCCGATGTTATCTTCTGATGTTATCTTCCTGATGTTATCTTCCCGATGTTATCTTCCTGATGTTATCTTCCTGATGTTATCTTCATGATGTTATCTTCCTGATGTTATCTTCCTGATGTTATCTTCATGATGTTATCTTCCTGATGTTATCTTCCTGATGTTATCTTCCTGATGTTATCTTCCTGATGTTATCTTCCTGATGTTATCTTCATGATGTTATCTTCATGATGTTATCTTCATGATGTTATCTTCATGATGTTATCTTCCTGATGATATCTTCATGATGTTATCTTCATGATGTTATCTTCCTGATGTTATCTTCATGATGTTATCTTCCTGATGTTATCTTCCTGATGTTATCTTCCTGATGTTATCTTCCTGATGTTATCTTCCTGATGTTATCTTCCTGATGTTATCTTCCTGATGTTATCTTCCTGATGTTATCTTCCCGATGTTATCTTCCTGATGTTATCTTCCCGATGTTTCTTCATAATGTTTTTCTTCCTGATGTTTTATTCCTGATGTTATCTTCATGATGTTATCTTCATGATGTTATCTTCCTGATGTTATCTTCATGATGTTATCTTCATGATGTTATCTTCATGATGTTATCTTCCTGATGTTATTTTCCTGATGTTATTTTCCTGATGCTATTTTCCTGATGCTATTTTCCTGATGCTATCTTCCTGAAGTTATCTTCCTAATCTTATTTTCCTGATGTTATCTTCCTGATGTTATCTTCCTGATGTCTCTTGTGTTTGTATGTCCTGGTGGGGCGTGGCAGGGGCAGGCAGGAGTCGAACTTCTTCCTCAGCGACAGGATGAACAACTTACGAGGGTACACATTCTCGGTGGCAGCTCTCCCATACTCTCCCTTCATCATCGACGCTCACACATCACTCTCTGGACCCGGCAAGTATGTGTGTGTGACGAGTCTTAGTGTTGATGGGTGTCGGTGTGCTGAGGAGTGTTAGTGTGCTGAGGAGTGTCAGTGTGCTGAGGAGTGTCAGTGTGCTGAGGAGTGATAGTGTGCTGAGGAGTGATAGTGTGCTGAGGAGTGATAGTGTGCTGAGGGGTGATAGTGTACTGAGGGGTGATAGTGTACTGAGGGGTGATAGTGTACTGAGGAGTGATAGTGTACTGAGGGGTGATAGTGTGCTGAGGGGCGATAGTGTGCTGAGGAGTGATAGTGTGCTGAGGAGTGATAGCGTGCTGAGGGGTGATAGTGTGCGGAGGAGTGATAGTGTGCTGAGGAGTGATAGTGTGCTGAGGGGTGATAGTGTACTGAGGGGTGATAGTGTACTGAGGGGTGATAGTGTACTGAGGAGTGATAGTGTGCTGAGGAGTGATAGTGTGCTGAGGGGCGATAGTGTGCTGAGGAGTGATAGTGTGCTGAAGAGTGATAGTGTACTGAGGAGTGATAGTGTGCTGAGGGGCGATAGTGTGCTGAAGAGTGATAGTGTGCTGAGGAGTGATAGTGTGCTGAGGAGTGATAGTGTGCTGAAGAGTGATAGTGTGCTGAAGAGTGATAGTGTACTGAGGAGTGATAGTGTACTGAGGAGTGATCGTGTACTGAGGAGTGATAGTGTGCTGAGGAGTGATAGTGTGCTGAAGAGTGATAGTGTGCTGAAGAGTGATAGTGTACTGAGGAGTGATAGTGTACTGAGGAGTGATAGTGTGCTGAGGAGTGATAGTGTGCTGAGGAGTGATAGCGTGCTGAGGGGTGATAGTGTGCTGAGGAGTGATAGCGTGCTGAGGGGTGATAGTGTGCTGAGGAGTGATAGTGTGCTGAAGAGTGATAGTGTGCTGAGGAGTGATAGCGTGCTGAGGGGTGATAGTGTGCTGAGGAGTGATAGCGTGCTGAGGAGTGATAGCGTGCTGAGGGGTGATAGTGTGCTGAGGAGTGATAGTGTGCTGAGGAGTGATAGCGTGCTGAGGGGTGATAGTGTGCTGAGGAGTGATAGTGTGCTGAGGAGTGATAGCGGTGCGAGGGGTGATAGTGTGCTGAGGAGTGATAGCGTGCTGAGGGGTGTAGTGTGCTGAGGAGTGATAGTGTGCTGAAGAGTGATAGTGTGCTGAGGGTGATAGTTGTAGCTGAGGGGTGATAGTGTGCTGAGGAGTGATAGTGTGCTGATGAGTGATAGTGTGCTTGAGAGTGGATAGTGTGCTGAGGAGTGATAGTGTCTGAGGAGTGATAGTGTGCTGAGGAGTGATAGTTGTGCTGAGGAGTGATAGTGTGCTGATGGTGTGATAGTGTGCTGAGGGTTGATAGTGTGCTGAGGAGTGTAGTGTGCTGAGGAGTGATAGGTGCATGGGGGAGTGATGGGGAAATGTGCTGAGGAGTGTAGTGCTGAGGAGTGAGGTGCTGAGGAGTTGATAGTGTGCTGAGGAGTGTAGTGTGCATGAGAGTGTTAGTGTGCTGAGGAGTGTAGTGTGCTGAGAGTGTCAGTGTGCTGAGGAGTGTCAGTGTGCTAGAGTGTTAGTGTGTGAGGATGTCAGTGTGCTGAGGAGTGTGTGTGCTGAGGTGATAGTGTGCTGAGGAGTGATAGTTTTGCGAGGAGTTTATAGTGTGCTGAGGAGTGTAGTGTGCTGAGGAGTGATAGTGTGCTGAGGAGTGATAGTGTGCTAAGGAGTGATGGTGTGCTGAGGAGTGTCAGTGTGCTGAGGAGTGTCAGTGTGCTGAGGAGGTTAGGTGCTGAGGAGTGTAGTGTGCTGGGATGATAGTGTGCTGAGAAGTGTCAGTGTGCTGAGGAGTGATAGTGTGCTGAGGAGTGATATGTACGAGGGGTGATAGTGTGCTGAGGATGTGGGGTGTGAAGGGGTTGGTGCTGAGGAGTGTTAGTGTGCTGGGATGTCGTGTGGAAGAGTCGTGTGCTGGGAGTGTCAGTGTGTGAGAAGAGTCGTGTGTGAGGGTGTCTTTTGTGAGAAGGTCAGTGTGTGGGAGTGTCAGGTGCTGAGAAGGTCTGTTTGCTGAGGGGTTTTCAGTGGCTGAGGGGTGTCAGTGTGGGAAGAGTCCCGGTGCTGAGGAGTGTCAGTGTGTGAGAAGACAGTGTTGGGGGGGTGTCAGTGTGGAGGGGTGTAGTGGTTTTAGGAGTGCGTGTGCTGAGGAGTGTCAGTGTGCTGAGAAGGACTGAGAAGGTCTCTACACAATTAAGTATTATACTCGCTATTATTTTTTTGCAAGACTTGTCAAGTATATTGAAATAGCCGTTTTCTTCTTCTTCTTCTTCTTCTTCTTCTTCTTCTTTTCTTCTTCTTCTTTTTTCTTTTTTCTTCTTCTTCTTCTTCTTCTTCTTCTTTTCTTTCTTCTTCTTCACAATTTAAAGGTTTAATAGTTCCAGGAAATTTTTACCGGATATATCTTCTAACTTTTATAAACTCTGCGATTATCACGTCTTCTCTGTTTCCCTCTTCCAGACAGACAGCGAATTTACTGCTTTCAATCTTTATTTACATTTCTTAGTTCTGCTATTTCTCTATGCTGCACATTTTCAGTTTTCTTTATTGAAGTTTCTATTGGTGTGGTCACCATATTTCAGCTGCATACTACTGTTGTGACCAACTAGCCAGAACCATACAACTGTTGTGACAAACTAGCCAGATCCAAACTGTTGTTGTGACCAACTAGCCAGATCCATACTGTTGTTGTGGCCAACTAGCTAGATCCATACTATTGTTGTGACCAACTAGGGAGATCCATGGTGCTGTTGTGACCAACTAGCCAGATCCATAATATTGTTGTGACCAACTAGCTAGATCCATACTATTGTTGTGGCCAACTAGCTAGATCCATACTATTGTTGTGACCAACTAGGGAGATCCATGGTGCTGTTGTGACCAACTAGCCAGATCCATAATATTGTTGTGACCAACTAGCTAGATCCATACTATTGTTGTGACCAACTAGCTAGATCCATACTATTGTTGTGACCAACTAGGAAGATCCATGGTACTGTTGTGACCAACTAGCCAGATCCATACTGCTTTTGTGGCCTACTAGCCAGATCCATACTATTGTTGTGACCAACTAGCTAGATCCATACTATTGTTGTGACCAACTAGCTAGATCCATACTACTGTTGTGACCAACTAGGAAGATCCATGGTACTGTTGTGACCAACTAGCCGGAACCATGGTACTGTTGTGACCAACTAGCCGGATCCACGGTACTGTTGTGACCAACTAGCCGGATCCATGGCACTGTTGTGACCAACTAGCCGGATCCATGGTACTGTTGTGACCAACTAGCCGGATCCATGGTACTGTTGTGACCAACTAGCCGGATCCATGGTACTCTTGTGACCAACTAGCCGGATCCATGGTACTGTTGTGACCAACTAGCCGGATCCATGGTACTGTTGTGACCAACTAGCCGGATCCATGGCACTGTTGTGACCAACTAGCCGGATCCATGGTACTGTTGTGGCCAACTAGCCGGATCCATGGTACTGTTGTGACCAACTAGCCGGATCCATGGTACTGTTGTAGCCAACTAGCCAGATTCCTATTACTAATCTGACCAACCAGCAGGCTGCTATAGAACTACCTGTTATAACCATCTAGCTGACATAACCATCTAGCTGACATAACCATCTAGCTGACATAACCATCTAGCTGACATAACCATCTAGCTGACATAACCATCTAGCTGACATAACCATCTAGCTGACATAACCATCTAGCTGACATAACCATCTAGCTGACATAACCATCTAGCTGACATAACCATCTAGCTGACATAACCATCTAGCTGACATAACCATCTAGCTGATATAACCATCTAGCTGACATAACCATCTAGCTGATATAACCATCTAGCTGACATAACCATCTAGCTGATATAACCATCTAGCTGACATAACCATCTAGCTGACATAACCATCTAGCTGACATAACCATCTAGCTGACATAACCATCTAGCTGACATAACCATCTAGCTGACATAACCATCTAGCTGACATAACCATCTAGCTGACATAACCATCTAGCTGACATAACCATCTAGCTGACATAACCATCTAGCTGACATAACCATCTAGCTGACATAACCATCTAGCTGATATAACCATCTAGCTGACATAACCATCTAGCTGATATAACCATCTAGCTGACATAACCATCTAGCTGATATAACCATCTAGCTGACATAACCATCTAGCTGACATAACCATCTAGCTGACATAACCATCTAGCTGACATAACCATCTAGCTGACATAACCATCTAGCTGACATAACCATCTAGCTGACATAACCAGCCAGCAGACATAACCAGCCATCAGACATAACCAGCCATCAGACATAAGCAGTCAGCAGACATAAGCAGTCAGCAGACATAAGCAGCCAGCAGACATAACCAGCCAGCTGACATAACCAGCCAGCAGACATAACCAGCCATCAGACATAAGCAGTCAGCAGACATAAGCAGTCAGCAGACATAAGCAGCCAGCAGACATAACCAGCCATCAGACATAACCAGCCAGCAGACATAACCAGCCATCAGACATAAGCAGCCAGCAGACATAAGCAGCCAGCAGACATAACCAGCCAGCTGACATAACCAGCCATCAGACATAATCAGCCAGCAGACATAACCAGCCAGCAGACATAACCAGCTAGCAAACATAATCAGCCAGCTGACATAACCAGCCAGCAGACATAACCAGCCAGCAGACATAACCAGCCATCAGACATAAGCAGCCAGCAGACATAACCAGCCAGCTGACATAACCAGCCAGCTGACATAACCAGCCATCAGACATAACCAGCCAGCAGACATAATCAGCCAGCTGACATAACCAGCCAGCAGACATAACCAGCCATCAGACATAACCAGCCAGCAGACATAATCAGCCAGCTGACATAACCAGCCAGCAGACATAACCAGCCATCAGACATAAGCAGCCAGCAGACATAACCAGCCATCAGACATAAGCAGCCAGCAGACATAACCAGCCAGCAGACATAACCAGCCAGCAGACATAACCAGCCATCAGACATAAGCAGCCAGCAGACATAACCAGCCAGCTGACAAAACCAGCCATCAGACATAACCAGCCAGCAGACATAATCAGCCATCTGACATAACCAGCCAGCAGACATAACCAGCCAGCTGACATAACCAGCCATCAGACATAACCAGCCAGCAGACATAATCAGCCAGCTGACATAACCAGCCAGCAGACATAACCAGCCAGCTGACATAACCAGCCATCAGACATAACCAGCCAGCAGACATAATCAGCCAGCTGACATAACCAGCCAGCAGACATAACCAGCCATCAGACATAACCAACCAGCAGACATAATCAGCCAGCTGACATAACCAGCCAGCAGACATAACCAGCCATTAGACATAACCAGCCAGCAGACATAATCAGCCAGCTGACATAACCAGCCAGCAGACATAACCAGCCATCAGACATAATCAGCCAGCAGACATAACCAGCCATCAGACATAACCAGCCAGCAGACATAACTAGCCATCAGACATAACCAGCCGGCAGACATAACCAGCCATCAGACATAACCAGCCAGCAGACATACCCAGCCATCAGACATAACCAACCAGCAGACATAATCAGCCAGCCGACATAACCAGCCAGCAGACATAACCAGCCATCAGACATAAGCAGCCAGCAGACATAACTAGCTATCAGACATAACCAGCCATCAGACATAACCAGCCAGCAGACATAACCAGCCATCAGACATAACCAGCCAGCAGACATAACCTGCCATCGGACGTAACCAGCCATCAGACATAAACAGCCATCAGACGTAACCAGCCATCAGACATAAGCAGCCAGCAGACATAACCAGCCAGCTGACGTAACCAGCCAGCCGACATAACCAGCCATCAGACATAACCAGGCAGCAGACATAACCAGCCGTCAGACACAACCAGCCAGCAGACATAACCTGCCATCAGACGTAACCAGCCATCAGACATAAACAGCCATCAGACATAACCAGCCATCAGACATAAACAGCCATGAGACATAACCAGCCATCAGACATAAACAGCCATGAGACATAACCAGACATCAGACATAAGCAGCCAGCTGACATAACCAGCCATCAGACATAACCAGCCAGCTGACATAACCAGGCAGCCGACATAACCAGCCAGCAGACATAACCAGCCAGCAGACATAACCAGCCATCAGACATAACCAGCCAGCTGACATAACCAGCCATCAGACATAACCAACCAGCAGACATAACCAGGCATCAGACATAACCAACCAGCAGACATAACCAGCCATCAGACATAACCAACCAGCTGACATAACCAGCCATCAGACATAACCAGCCAGCTGACATAACCAGGCAGCCGACATAACCAGCCAGCCGACATAACCAGCCAGCAGACATAACCAGACATCAGACATAAGCAGCCAGCAGACATAACCAGCCATCAGACATAACCAGCCAGCTGACATAACCAGGCAGCCGACATAACCAGCCAGCGGACATAACCAGCCAGCAGACATAACCAGACATCAGACATAAGCAGCCAGCAGACATAACCAGCCATCAGACATAACCAGCCAGCTGACATAACCAGCCAGACATAACCAGCCAGCAGACATAACCATACATCAGACATATAAGCAGCCAGCAGACATAACCAGCCATCAGACATAACCAACCAGCAGACATAACCAGCCAGACATAACCAGCCAGCAGACATAACCAGCCATCAGACAAAATCAGCCAGCTGACATAACCAGCCATCAGACAAAATCAGCCAGCTGACATAACCAGTCATCAGTCATAATCAGCCAGCTGACATAACCAGCCATCAGACAAAATCAGCCAGCTGACATAACCAGCCATCAGACAAAATCAGCCAGCTGACATAACCAGCCATCAGACAAAATCAGCTAGCTGACATAACCAGCTAGTAGACATAACCAGCCATCAGACAAAATCAGCCAGCTGACATAACCAGCTAGTAGACATAACCAGTCATCAGTCATAATCAGCCAGCTGACATAACCAGTCATCAGTCATAATCAGCCAGCTGACATAACCAGCCAGCAGACATAACCAGCAGACATAACCAGCAGACATAACCAGCAGACATAACCAGCCAGCAGACATAACCAGCAGACATAACCAGCAGACATAACCAGCTATCAGACATAACCGGCCATCAGACATAAGCAGCCAGCAGACATAGCCAGTCATCAGACATAACCAGCCATCAGACATGACCAGCCATCAGACATAACCAGCCATCAGACATAACCAGCCAGCAGACATAACCAGCCATCAGACATAACCAGCCATCAGACATAACCAGCCAGCTGACATAACCAGCCAGCCGACATAGCCAGCCAGCAGACATAACCAAGCAGCAGACATGACCAGCCAGTAGACCTAACCTCGCAGCATACATAACCAGCCATCAGACATAATCAGCCAGCTGACCTAACCTGCCAGAAGACGTAACCAACAATCAGACATAACCAGCTAAATGATGTAACCAGCCAGCAGACATAACCAGCCAACTAACATAACCAGCTGTCAGACATAACCAGCCATCAGACATAACCAGCCATCAGACATAACCAGCCATCAGACATAACCAACCAGCAGACATGACCAGCTACCAGAGATAACCAGCCAACTGATATAACCAGCCAGCAGACATAACCAGCCAGCTGACATGACCATGCAGCTGACATAATCGTCCAGCTGACGTTACCATCTAGTTGACATAACCAGCCAGCAGACATAACCATCCAGCTGACATAGCCAACCAGCTGACATGGCCATCCAGTTGACATAACCATCTATTTGACATAACTAGCCATCTTACATAACCAACCAGCTGACATGACCATTCAGCTGACATAACCAGCCTGCTGATATAACCAGCCTGCTGACATAACTAGCCAGCTGACATAACCATCCATCTGACATAACTAGCCAGTTGACATAACCATCCAGCTGACTCAACCATCCAGTTGACATAACCAGTCAGTTGACATAAGCATCTAGCTGACATAACCAGCCTGCTGACACAACCAGCCAGCTGACATAACCAGCCTGTTGACATACTCTAAAATCATTTCCTCAATAAAAGCCTTCTTTGACTCTTGTGCACTAGACTTTCCTCGCCTAGAATGATTATTTCTCTCCTGAGGTGAACTAAGATGACCTGGTGCTGCAGGTACCGGGGGCTCGAAGTCTTTTTGCTGGATGTGTTGGCAGAGTCCATGAACTTCACCTACCGCTTCGTGGCTCCTGATGATCACCAGTGGGGTCGGCAGGACAAGAACGGTGTCTGGACTGGTATGATTGGTAAGTGGCTTTGCGTTTATAGCACCGGTGAGAGATACTGGGAGGGAGGGAGGGTAGTGGAAGGGAGAAATGCTGTAGGTTCGAATCTATGAACTCCGACAAGGGAACAGAGTGTGTCTGGTCTCGGCTATAGTTCCAGGTATACTGGAAGGAAAGGGATTTAGGAAAGTTGTAAGTACTGGATCATTTTGGTACTGCATTACGGATTCATTATATATTGGCTTTGGGTGTTTATGTGGTGTTGGCTCCTGCTTCACGGCCACCGGCAGGTATGGTGATACACGAGGAAGCTGACTGGGCCGTCAGCGATATTACTTTCTCTCCCCTGCGAGAAGCCTTCGTGGACTTCTGTCAGCCCTTCGTCTATGACGCCTCCGAGCTGGTCACCCCGAGGGCCAAGCCCCTACCTAGGTGGTTCAGCCCGGTCAGGTCAGTAAGGAAAAGGCAAGTAGGTGGTATTACAAACGCAGGTAGCAATTCGAAGGCCTGTTGTACCTGGCCATAAATCAAGGTGAAAACAAAAGGGGTAGTTTTTTCTTTACCCGTATATATCCTTCATCATGATATATACAGTGTTTATAGAGTTAAATTAGTAGTATAACAATAATAAGCGAGAACAAAGAGCCACTCACAACAGCAGGTTTTACAATTCAGAATAGACAAGAGAGAATATGAGTGCACCAGACCAGCCTGAGTGAGAGTGTGGTCCACAACCGAGTGGTTAACATTCCCTCACTTCGTCTGGGTAGGCAGCTCTCATGGTATAGCTGACTATACTTGGCTCTAGAACTGCTCCATTCTGAACTGCCAATTTGCTGGTCGTGAGAGCATGCCAATGAGTTTATGATGAACGACGAATAAATTGTAACATACTCGGCGAGTGCCACAGGTGGAGTTGTGGTAAATGGGAGTATGTTAGATGAGTAGGGATGTTAGATGTAGGTGTTAGGTGAGTATGTAAGTGGTAGGGAAGCAGAGGACTGACAGTTTAGTTAGGTGAGTTGGGAAGTGTTGGGTATGTGGAAGTATTAGGTGCTTTAGGGACTTTTAGGTGAATAGAGGGAAGTGACAGATGAGTTCGTAAGTGTAAGGTGAACAGGGTATCTGAGCGAGAGCTTACTATAGCCATGTTGATGTTATAGTCGTCTGAAGAAAATCCATCAGTGGTCAAAGTGGGGTATATGTTAACTTTCATAGTGTTTATATCAATATATCCAGTTGGATGAGTCTTATTAGGATGGCATGGTGCAGTGGTTAGAGCACCGGACTGTTAGTTTTGGGACTATCTTGCCACGGGTTCAAATCATGCCTATTCCTGTTTACAATTGTATTTTTACGATTTCGCGAGCCACGGAAAAGTTATGTGAGTAGCAGAGATGTTTTAGGTGAGTAGCAGTTAACACTGAGTTTAAGGTACATATGAAATTTCAAATCATTCTTTAAAACCTCCAGTTATCTTCTATCTCAGAAAAACTCAGCTAATTATTAGAGCACATGAGTTGCTTAGTGTTTTCTGTGCAATAACCTCCTAGTTATGCTGCTGCTCTTGTTACCTTCGTCTGAAAAAAAAAAGAATCTGACATGAATCATTGTCATAAGAGTTATTCAGTGGTGAGAAGAAGAAAGAACTCGTGGTGTGCTGTTCTAGACGGTGGTGACTTAGCTAGTCACTCCCAGTTCTCTTACTGGATGACTCAATTATAATCATCTCAAATTCGGATCAGGCGGATTTAAACAGCACTGTTAATGGCGAATTTGTCAAGACATTTAAATGGATGACAACCAGCGATGTAACACTGAAAACTAAGACCTTTTACCCAGTGCACGGAATAAAACTAAAAAAAAAATTTGAAAATAAAGTTAAATAATGCACACATTGAAAGTCAATACTAGGAAAATCTTTTAGGGTTACACAATAACAGCAAATAAAACACAGCCCTGATATCCAGTACATATCTAGGAAAAAAATAAAAACAGTTGGTATTTATTCCAAACACTGTGTACCTCAAAGAAGAATACACATCCCGTTCACTTGCCTAATTTACCTCTCCACTGCATGTGACAAATATTCACCTTAAACCCATCGTATTACGTGATATAAGAATGATCTCTTATTCAGGTTTTAGTAACACACACTACCATTACTCAAGATTTTAAATTTACTCAATGTACAAATCATCCTTACTTACCACTGTGTATTCTATACATTTAGAACACTCAATATAATTATTAAAAACTCTTCTTAGATAGGCGCAAGAACCTGAATAGATAAAATGCAAGAAACAGTTATTTCTTCGATATCTGATAAATTCAACCTGAGTGAAAACTTTATAAGAGTCACAGGTACAGAAATCTCTGCCAGATTATTCTAAAAGTTCTCTGAGTGTTAATTGCTCGAATTTGTTGAAAATTTTCATAGATCGACTATAACTGTCAAATGTGTATGATGCAACTTACGTATCCAGATTCGAGACTCCATTCCTACTCATGCACTCGTGTTCTCAGTTTATTCTTCACGTTTATTCAGTTTATTCTTCACGTTTATGAGAATGTTAACTCAGATTGTTTCCTTGAGAGACATATTGATGAATATCTTATGTTTCCTCTAAGTAAATCCTGAATATCCCTGTAATTTAATGTTTTACCTGGCTGTGAGAGTCTCTAATAATCTACATTACCTCTAGTTTCTGTCACAATATATTGTGTTGCGCAGGCCGTTCACGTGGCAGGTGTGGCTGGGTTTGAGTGTTGCTGTGATGGTAGCAGCGCCCTTCCTGTGTCTTGTGTCTCGTCTCTCGCACACCACTGTCCACCCTCACCCAGCTGTCTGGTTCCAGAAACTCAACAACGCTGCCATGTTTGTCATCGAGCCTGTCTTCCAGGTGAGGATATGTATGCATGTATACACACACCTATTATTTTTAGTTCCTTGATAATGTGAGAAATCACGAAAGCGCTTGGAATTTCACTATTTTTTCACAGTGGTTGTTCTGCATATATGCATATATATATATATATATTATATATATATTATATATTATATATATATATATATATATATATATTATTATATTATATATATATATATTATATGCCTAGGGGCACTTCCTGTACCCTTCTCTCTCTCTCTCTCTCTCTCTCTTTTCCTCCCTCCCTCACTCACTCCAGTTTAGACGTCCTCTGGGAACGTACTTGCTGGACATCCTCCTCTTTTCTGCAATTTTGCAAGCTCCTGATGATGTGTTAATTGCAATTGGAAAGGCCTAGAGCTATCATTCTACTCCCCACGTGGTTGTTTTGCATCCACACACACACACACACACAACAGGGAAGGCACTACAATGGATCAGGGAATACTTGTCAGGAAGACAGCAGCGAGTCATGGTACGTGGTGAGGTGTCAGAGTGGGCACCTGTGACCAGCGGGGTCCCACAGGGGTCAGTCCCAGGACCAGTGCTGTTTCTGGTATTTGTGAACGACATGACGGAAGGAATAGATTCCGAAGTGTCCCTGTTTGCAGATGACGTGAAGTTGATGAAAAGACTCATTCGATCGAAGACCAGGAAGAACTACAAATGGATCTGGACAGGCTGCAGACCTGGTCCAGCAATTGGCTCCTGGAGTTCAACCCCACCAAGTGCAAAGTCATGAAGATTGGGGAAGGGTAAAGAAGACCGAAGACGGAATACAGTCTAGGGGACCAGAGACTACAAACCTCACTCAAGGAAAAAGATCTTGGGGTAATGAGATAACGAGATAATGAGATAATGGATAATGAGAACGTTCAAAACGAGAGATGCCAAGCCCATGATGATCCTTTTCAAATCACTTGTTCTCTCTGGGCTGGAATACTGCTGTACATTAACATCTCCATTCAAAGCAGGTGAAATCGCAGATCTAGAGAGTGTACAGAGATCCTTTACTGCACGTATAAGTTCTGTCAAGCACCTTAACTACTGGGAACGCTTGGAAGCACTTGACTTGTACTCGTTGGAACGCAGGAGGGAGAGATATATCATAATCTACACTTGGAAAATCTTGGAAGGAATGGTCCCAAATCTGCACACAGAAATCACTCCCTACGAAAGTAAAAAACTGGGCAGGCGATGCAAAATGCCCCCAATAAAAAGTAGGGGCGCCATTGGTACACTAAGGGAAAACACCATAAGTGTCCGACGCCCAAGACTGTTCAACAGCCTCCCATCAAGCATTAGAGGAATTGCCAATAAACCCCTGGCTGCCTTCAAGAGAGAGCTGGACAGATACCTAAAGTCAGTGCCGGATCAGCCAGGCTGTGGCTCGTACGTTGGACTGCGTGCGGCCAGCAGTAACAGCCTAGTTGATCAGGCCCTGATCCATCGGGAGGCCTGGTCATGGACCGGGCCGCGGGGGCGTTGATCCCCGGAATAACCTCCAGGTAACCTCCAGGAGTATAACACCAGGCACATCTCCTGAAGCGCACATCAATCAAATAACTGCTGCAGCACATGGGCGCCTAGCAAACCTCAGAACAGCATTCCGACATCTTAATAAGGAATCGTTCAGGACCCTGTACACCGTGTACGTTAGGCCCATATTGGAGTATGCGGCACCAGTTTGGAACCCACACCTAGCCAAGCACGTAAAGAAACTAGA